TATATATATATGTCCAGCTGATTAATTGATTAGCGCTATGAAACTTTCCAAATCATCGAATGAATTTTTTATTTTTATGATTACACCTATACAGAGCAGCAGGTGAGCACGTCGTATAACGTCGATTCTACTTTATATTTTCATCAGAAGAAAAATGATTGTTACCGGACAATGCACTCGTTAACAATAGAAATACGCCACTAATTCCCAATCGTTTATTAAAGGAATCAAATATAATATTGTAATTCTCGATTTTTTGAAACATACCATAGTAAACAATATGAACCAATCACAAGCAAACTACACATTAAACCTTATCGACAAAACCACTTCGCAGACTTGACAGTTTGAAATTTAAATTTTCTCGTTAAAAAATTAACGCCCCTAATACTCGACAGATAATATCCTCCAAAATACGCCCAACCCCAGATAGGAAAAAAAATCGCTCATTATCCAAACCAAAAGCGAACAATAATAAGCGAGGGGTATCAAAGAGTCACGCTGATTAGAACGCACCGCGACGCATCAATTACAAGCACCGGAGCGCCAAATACGTCAATCATTGGACCCATCCCGTATTCAGCAACCTCGGCCTCGTACCACCTGTGGCCAAAAAGTCAGCGTGTACACACCGAAGAGACACGCGTAACCGGTACGATAGATACACACGACCATAATATACACATATATACGCCCTGGAACTCAGACGCGTACACCTCATTATGCTTTCGGCTCGTCGCTGTTGTATTACACGCGCATACCATATGTACCCCCCTGTCCAGAAACTCGGGGGGGGGGAGGGCATTACGCGGCTCCTCGCGACGTAATATCCAGCGCCGTGTCGGCGAGATCTCTGCTCCGATGGCAAAAGCTTTGGCCAGACGCCAAGGCCCTCCGTGTACCTGTGCACCTACGACACGTGCTTTTGCGCACAATATAGAATGATAATAATAACGTGTAAGGTGTCTCTTTCCCAACATGAAAATCAGCAACGTAGCCTCGGACGCGAGATCCATGAGCACCTCGATGGACAACACTAGCGCCCAACAATGGCAACCCCTCTCTCACTCTCTGCTGGCACAATCCCCTTGACCGGTGAGATGCGTCCTCGTGAGCTGAGGATAACGCGTGCAGTCCGCGATTTTCAGGAGGTATATAAGGGGCGCGATTTTTCTGTCCAGGCATCATTCGGCTCTCGAGCATCTTCGCTTACACCTGACCGGTGAACCACCAGCAAACCCACAACCTACGACATGAAGTGCTTCGCTGTGAGTATCATCTATTCGTTGCTGCTCAATAACGTTCGATATTATTTATATTATTTAATTACGTACGTTTTTAAGAAAAAATATTTTGTTGTTTGATTAACTCGATAATGGTACATTTTTTCAATTCATGGTTTATGTGAATACTGTTTGATGGCATTTATTGATGTAAAATTAAATTTCAATACTTCATCGTGAGCAGTATCAACTTTTTTTTTTTTCAAGTCACTGCTTTTCATTGATTGGTATCACTTTTTTTTTTTTTTACTATCGAAATATGTATGTTGTAACCGACGTGTTGGAAAATTGTTTTTTTATACAAAACTTGAGTACGAATTGTCAAATGAACTCTTTTTTTTTTTTATTAAATGGTTCGCATGAAATCACAATCCTCTTACCAAATGGATAACATATTCGAAACGCGTAACGTGAAAATGGTGTCACGAGTATACGATGCAGTTCTTTCTAGACTCCATATAATTCAACAATCCAAGATTTTTCTGTGCATTAATACAATTTTTATAACTAACAAAATTAAAAACTCCCAATTATTTAACGGAATAATTTATGTATACTCTTTATGGTAATATTAGACAATACTATTAGCCTCAAATTTTTTGCAAAGGGTGTGGTAGATTTATTAACAGAACAAAAGTTACAAATACTGCGTTGTAATTCAAGCCTTCATTATCCTCATTTTCCGATAAAATTGTTGTAAGCCAACAAATAATTTTCACGTCTGAGGATAGTCGTAGAATACATCGTACGTGTAAATTAAGCGACTTGTCTGTTTGTTTTTATTTTATTTTTTTTTTTCTGCTCGACGTAAAAGTATGTTAACGCGTTCACAGGCAATCCTGCTTTTGGCCCTCATCGCCACGGCCTACACCGCCAAGCTGCCAGCCGCTGCTGAACCGAAGCCAGAGGCCGAAGCGGAATCCTCATCCCCCAGCGGCGAGGCAAGGAACAAGCGCGGCCTCCTCTACACCGGAGCCTACGCTGCCCCGTACGCCGCGGCCTACAGCTACCCGGCATACACCTCCGCCTACAGCTACCCGGTTGCCTACAGCTCTCCCGTCGCTTACACCGCGGCTTACCGCTCCTACTACCCCGGATACTACGGATCCCTCGTCATCGGTTAGATCAGCCTACGACAGTTCCAAATTCTGAGGGCCGTGGGAGTCGTTGCTGGCGTTGACATTTTTTTACCATGGATAATTCGTGTTGCGCATACATGGGCGAGCTCGACGATTGTCGCGTGCCATTTTGGTACTACATTTTTGGGCCATTAAACAGTGTTAACAGTATAATTATACACTGCAAACAGTTTTCAATTTCGAAATCCGTGGAAATTGCGATGCGAAACTTGTTTGCGACCAGCCGTGCCAGGCACTCTTTGTACACTCTATAAATATGTTACATTGTTACGTTTTTAGTATATGTATTGACAATTAAGTATTATCACGAAATATATACATACATATATATATCATTGCATATATAAAACTCAAAACTCGTTTGTGGTTAAATTTTATTCAATCCTCGTTCTTCTAGTTGTAACAATCGTTTTTTATACCGTAAAAATGCGTTTAAACAATTTTTTTCGATACGACTTTTTTTTAAAGATTTTTTTTTCATTTCATCACTTCTGTTTGTGTCTTCAGATAAATATCAGTTTTCAATGTTTCAAACAATTGTCGAGCCTTTTTTCTAGTAGAATAAATTTCTACCTCTTTCCTAATGGATAATTATCAGTTGAATCAAAAACTATTGAAAAATACTGCTATTTCAAAGAACTCTAAGTTTTTTGTCAAATTCGTTGTTTTTTAGTGAAACACAGCGTTTTCAAGCATCATTCTAAACACTAAAACGTGTGTCAATATTATTAAAAATCTATTTGGGCTTTCCACCTTACTACTACTTTCATACATCAATAGCATTTAAAATGAGTGTAATCAATATTTTAATATTATTTCCGAGTCAGTAAAGTGCTTGTGCCGCGGAACCTCCAATATTATATCTTGGGAGTGCCGTTCGTAAGGCGTTAATTAAAACTTTGGCAAAATGACTTTTAATTTGTATTCTTATATTTGGTAGCAAAAATCTTGAGAATAATTTGTTTGAATGAAAAGCATCAGTCTTACTTTTCCTTGATATTTACTGAATGAAGTACAGGAGGAATAATAGAGTGTTATAGTTAGATCTGAAAAGAGTATATAACTTTTGCCACATAATTAAGGCAACGTCTTATTACTGTGAGGAATTCTATAAAACACGAATTATCTTTTTTTTTTTTTTGGTCCAAATACTTTTCGAATGAGTGAAAAGAAAAACTTAATGCTTTTTTAAGTGCAAACACGTGTGCAGTTCATTTGGAGGTATGATATTACTAATTGTGTGACGATAAAAAAAATTATTTGTCTTCATCGTGAAACATGTAGTAAACTTAGTCTAAACATAAAAAAAAGTTTTACTTATTTACTATTCATTGTTATTAAGTTTGAAGATTTAATTGCATCATGCCATGTATGGCATCACGCTAACGTTAAACATTAGAAACGTTTCTTTAGAAAAATATACGTCTTTTCAACTTTAAAACAAATTATTACTTTATAAATGTTCAACGGTCAAAACTTCTTTTACAATGTTTTGATAGGAAATATTATTTTCTTAACTTCCACCCCTAATTTGAATAAAAAACTAGTTACACCTTCTACAATGGTTAATTCGTGGATAGTGGAATTTGGTGATGTAACGGATGCTACATTAAAATTTTAAGATCCGTAAGGAATCAAAGGTTGATAGAATCGTATTAATTTGTTTTGTAATAATTAAGCTGATACTATTTTGATGGATTTACTAGACACATTTAAAAAAAAATTTCTTAATGGATTGCTTTTATGTGTTACAAAAGTAAATTAAAATTAGGGGCCTTCCCTAACGCTTATTTGTTTATAAAATATTCGAATAGTGTACGTAACGTTGAAGACAAACCAAAACCAATTGATTTTCTTTTTATAAACATCGACAACAAAGTTTTACTGGATTAAAAAAAAATTTAATTACAACGATATTATTTATTCACTGTGTGAGAGTTTTTGTGTACTAATCAAGATTTTACTATAGGATTTTGTTTGATTAACAATAAAAACTTTTAATTGTACTTTAAATAACTAGAAAAAGTAATTACAACACAAATAGTTTTTCAGAAACATGTTCTAACATGTAGCAATCAATATTTCAACAATGTTTACTTCAAAACTATGTTGTGTCAAAAAAGCCGTATCTGAGCCTTCGAGCAATGGTGAACTGTTAAAAAAAAAAATAATAATATAACACATTTTATAATACCAAAACTTACTGTTTTATAAAAACTTGCATGCTTTTAAGAGTTAGAATAAATATTTTTTTATTGTTAATCCAATTGACTTTAAAAAAAATCATCCAACCAGACACTTTTTTCAGATTCTAACATTATAAGTTAGTTTACCTTTCAAAAATGATCTTTGAATCACTCGCTATTTTTAGCTCTTTAAGGGTTCCCCAATGTATCTACCAAAGTAAACCCGAATATAACTATCATCGTGAACGTATATGATATTTATTGTTTTGTATTTTAACAATTTTTATTTTTATTTTTTCAAATGATCAAACTTCCAATAATCAGTCAAACGGTACAACCTTGTGCATACATGTTTTCTACAATTTTTTGTATGTGGAATATTTAATTTTAATAACTAAGTTTGGCAGTTGTTATGGTGACGAAAATAAGTTAAAAAGCAGTATTTTACATTAAAATAATAAGAAATGATTCACAGAATTTGATTGGCAAATTTTTACAAGTTATGCCGATGGTAGTGAAGTATTACCGAAAAAAAAAATTTTTGCGTTGTATACTTTTGAAAGAGAGAGAGAGAGAGAGAGAGAGCAGTGATAGAATACACTTTTAGTGGCCAGAAATATTAATTACTAGCTTTTATTTTTGAGATATTTAAGTTTAAAGTGCCTTTTTTTTACTTAGGCTAAATGGGCTATACCAATAACAGCTTTGAAGAAATACGTAACAAATCAAACTATTTTTGTAAAAAATACTCTACAAATCTTAGAAATTCGTACTTTATTTTGGCCCTTTCAAATTATGGTGTGACGGCATTAAATGAAAATCAGTTTATTGATTAATATTTTTCCCGTTACAAAATCATACGGCCATAATCTGTAAGACTGTCACGATACGGTAAATGACGCACTTTACTCGCTTGATTAACTCGGTTCACGGATTTTCTACCTTAATTAACGAAACACTTGCAGTGTGGCACAAAGTTTCATGTGAGTAGACCAAGTAACACCTTTCAAAAGAAAGAAGAATTTATCCAATGAAAGTTGAAATGTCTGGATGCCATTGCAAATGTACAGGTGATGATAATATTTTTATGTATTTTTATCACCCATAACTTGAAGTCGTTTCAACCTTAGGTTAGTAAAGACGCACATTTTTTCGTCTGATGTGTACAATAAAAATATGTGGCATCTGTATGTTACTGAATTTTATTTTTTTGCCGAATAAAAAAAAAATTACTGCATAATTAGTAAGATTTTCCTTACAACAAATAGAAAGTTTATCAGTCGAAGTTATTAAAGTATTTAGATTTGCAAAAATCGAGACAAACTTACTGTTTTGCTTTTTAAAAATTTAGGTAATACACAGTTTTAAAAATTATTTTTTGTACTATAAGAAACGACAGTTTTTTTACGGTTTCTTATTATCTACTACATAAAACCTTATTTCTGTCTAACTAACATTTATTTGTACCACGTCATACACACACACACACACAGCAATACACACATAAACACATGCTACATCTTTGGATAAAATATACTTGTGATGTTATTCGGTCATTGTTTGATAAAGATGTATATTTTCTTATTACACCAATCTAGAATTTTTTCTAATTTCTTGTTCAGTCAGACTATAAACTACATCTTACCCCCCCACCCTTTTTTTTTTTTTACATAAAATATTCCTGTATACATTACGGAGGTTGTTGTTTTACTATATTTGATAGAAAATGTTTGTCTCGTATACATAAATCATTTATTTATCATACAGTATTTTATAAGCATACACATTGAAGTATCTTTAAAACACGAAACGTAGAGATTTTTGTAAAAAATAATTAAACTTTGTTATGCTGTAGAAAACGATTGTTGTACACATCTAATTTGACAAAAAAATTTGTAGTCAATAACCAGTCACACGAGCAATGATTAGTTTACTCTCTCTGGCCTAGGTACATAATATACTATTGACTGTATTTCAATAAACATCAAGATCATTAGTTCCAACCTCGACGTCATAAAGCACAAATACATATCAAATACATGAAAAATGATAATATATATTACGTTAAACAGAAAATTTCAAAAGTATTAAATGTATCTCATGAAGTCACGTATATCTTTGAAAGAAATACGATAGGATGATTGAAGATAATTAAAGTGATACATTTAAAATCGTATTTTTACTTTGCAATAGTGATAATTTTTAAATGATTTTAGGTATCTCGTGGTGCCGTTGCTGTCGAAAATTTGCTTGCAGCTGCCATAGACCATGTGTTTATAAAACATTACGAGACAACTTAAAAGATCAAAATAACCAGAATGACCAAAACAAACGTAAATATATGGATTTTTCCATCCCTGTCCATACCCAAAAAAATACTCTTAATAAGTTACTTGCACATAAATTAAATCAAATTAATATTTTTTATACTATTAGCATTTAATATTTACAGGATTAATTCAACCCAAGTCAATCTATCATTGATATAATTGAGATAAATTCAAGAATTGTTTCAAGTGTAACTCTAATTAGACTTATAAATNCATTATTCCTACCTGTAGTTAAGTATTATTTTTAAAATGAAACAATTCTATTGAACCAATGCAATAAATTACTTTAATTTATTTTTTTTAGTAACTCGTAAATCTATTGTTGTACATGTATTTTGTTAAAAATTTGTAAACACACTTTCTACGTAAGACTACATCTACAAGTCATGAAACTTGGTTTCTGTAGATGTATTATTCATTGATAGGATCATGAATAACGTTTTGCATTACGAACTATACTACTATTTTTAATTCAATATAGACTTACACTGTATAATATTTTATATAGATAACCTACTTTCTACTTGCTCAAGTTTTTATTACTTTGGCGGATCGAAGGACTGACTCAAAGGCAGCTGAAGTTAAAAAACATAATACTGCACGTATAAAAGAGTCCAACTTACATGAGGATGAAAAATCACAAGTCACGCAAAGAAAAAGGGATCCTGGATATTACTACAGCAAACCAATTCATTTGGTTAATGACGGACATTTTGAATCTAGACATCCTGGAAATAGAGGACGAATCATTACAAGACTGCAAAGTCAAATAAATCGTCCTTTTAAGCAGTATGGATTGCCTGATCAGGAAAGTGGTGGTTTTATTGCAGATCAGTCAACAACAACTGTTGGCC